TGCCTCCCACCAAGGATCGCCGCCCAGTGTCATCTCGATCCAAGGTGAAGTAGCGTCCTTTCCCCACACAATGGCTTGGTAGCTTGTGATGTTTCCTGAAGCCAGGTGAAAGACGCGAAGGGTGGCAGGCACGCGCAAATTGTCCAACAGAGATCGCACACGGCGTCTAACAGAGGTGGGGCGTCTTAGCATCCGAGAGGTCAGCGCGGCCCAAAATTGACTTACCTTTCATTCTCAACATCAGCTTCCTGCTCGACAAAGACGGAGACGCGGAGTTGATGTGACTTCCATGTTCCAGTCATGCTGAGGATTGTCCCAAGCTGAAGCACCATTGTATAGGTGTCCCAAGCATGACTTGGATCTTGGTCAGGACTTTGAATTTGGATTGGCCAAAGATCGATGTACTGTGGCTCTTGCTTGTCCTTTGGGTTCTCAAAAGCTGGACTAGCACGCCTAGGTGGTGCTGAGAGGGACAACGACTCGAAGCCATAAGCGACGGCAAGCGCCTTGTTCAATGCCAAAGTATCTTCCATGATGCCGACGAATGTAGTAGGCAGAATGGGCGTCTCTCGTCGAGCTATGTCGGTAGGCAGCGATCGCACCTCGATCACGCTGTGGGGTCCGGTGTTGCGCGGCTCGTGATTACCGGGCTTGATAGTGATTTCGGAGCCATCGCTGCGATGACTCGGAGTGAGGCTTTGTTTCCTGTTTCGCGAGGACCGCATGTCTGAAGGAAAGCCCATGACGACCACGTTGGGCCTCATTCCCCCTAGCCCGCAAGAGAGGACCAGATTTCGAGCGCCTTCGCGCTCGTCCCGAGCAATGATGACGTCCACAAAAGATTTGATGCCAGAAACATCTACCAGCTTCAGCCATGCGACCTGCTGCTTACGCAGCTCGCCTAAGCACTCTTGGAACTCGCCCTTGAGCACGTGGCCCAAGACATATAACGCGCCCTTCTTGAGAGAGTTGCAAAAGATGATCAAGTTCCAGTCCGTACGGGCATTGTTGACGAGTAGCAGTATTTGCGGACGCCAGTATTTGACGTGCCCCTTGCGCTCATCAAGCCGAAGAAGATATTTTCGGACGATGTGGTAATTCAGGTCTGTGGCAAGCAACGAGGTCAGGATCGACGTGTAGAGGGAAGCTAAGCGTTTCCGCGCACGCACTTCTCGTAACATCGCCCCATGGCTTGGGTGGACAGCAGATGTGAATGGCGGCGAAGAGGAACACCGAGAAAACGATGCAAGCGCTCGCCGCAAGCGGATCAGTGAAGTACATCGCTCCAATGCAAGCAATAGTGCCGCCACCTGCAGTCCAGATGTTCCAGTACCGGAAAGACGGTCTGAAAGATGGAGCGCCTCCCGCCTTGAGGGCAAGAGTGGCGAAGCTCAGAACCCCAAAGGTGAGCAGTGCTGCCGAGACAACAGAACTCTGGTGAGGGACTCTGGCACGCGGCGACGCAATCGGCCTCACTTACACGTCATGGTGACGAGCTGAGCAATGGTGTTGACCGAATCCACAAAGAGCACGGCTTGGCAAAGCACGTACGTCGCAAAAACCGCATCTGTAGCGATTTGTGTGTGTGACGCCGATCAACTCCTTGTTCGTGGTCACTGGTCGATCGCCGCTAGGAGCAAGACTCACATGTTGGCGTATCGCTCAGCTCTGTGCCTTGAGCAAAGTTGTCGAGTATTGGCAGAAGATTGTCTCTAGCTATAGCCTGCAGAACCTTGGCGCAAGCCATCACGCCCATCAGAGCCGAGAACGCTGTGGAAGCTAGCGCACCAAAGGTGATGATCTGTGGACTCAGCGCGACATCTGAAACGATGCCCACGTCCAAGTAGAAGGATTCCCGCTCGATCGTGCTCGCAAAAACGACAAAGCAGAGAACGTAGACTATGAATGTGAAGATGAGGGACCAGTTGGTGCCCTTGGGTATGCTTTTGCTCGGTTTTCGGAGGTCGCCACTCATGCTGGCTCCAGCTAGGAGACCGGTGACAGCTGGAAACAAGACGCCAAAGACGGTTTGCCAGCTTTCCTTTTCAGATCCTGTGCTACTTCCTGCCGCACCCGTTGTGAATCGCGGGAGAAGATTGCCTTGAAGTGTGGCAAGGGACCAGCCCGTATAGTAAGCTCCACGTTCTGGGTCCGAGAAGGGAGCTACGGCGAAGCTGGAGATAGGAATGCTGAGGATGGATACCCCGAGCACAATAGCAAGCGCTAGCGTCGCTCTCGCGAAAAGCGCTGAGCCGGTCAAGCACACCAGCGTGCTAAGCACCAGCACCAAGCTACCATAAAAGAAGTTGAACCACGGCCCCTCTGGCAGGAAACCTCCGCTACATCTCGATTCGCCAAAAGCATCTGTCAGGGACTCGACGAAACCCAAGACGTTCATGGCAGCATTGAGAGCTTGTCCCAGGAAGAACACTAAGCCGATAGATCCACCGAACTCAGGGCCGAGCGACCGCGAGATCAGATAGTAGGCGCCTCCACCCCGCACTTGTCCATTGGTGCTGATCGCTGACACAGACATCGCTGTGAGCGCATCTACTGCATAGGAGACGAAAAGAAGAAA